TTTCAGTCGTGTATATAACACCATAAAACATTTGTCGAAAATAACGTGATTTTAATTAGTGAATGGTTCATTTCGCTAATTACAGATAATTATTTTATGAAGTTTTATACACGACTGAAAGTTAAAAATACAGGTCAAGTTTCGTCCGATATTTGTGATTATTGTATCTGTAATTTAATAAGACCCTGTTTCGCCTCGTGATTGCAGATTTTCGATTATCTGTAATTAGCGAAACGAACCGTTTACTAATTAAAATCCCGTTGTTTTGGGCAAATGTTTCAGGGTGGTAAATATATTGATAGAATTGTGAAAAGTTTTCTTATTGATGTCATGGATTCTAGAAAAAAATATGTAGATTTATTTCCTGTATTTAACTTTAAGCTCAAAAAATTCTTTTTAGTTTGTATTTTCTTTAAGTTTTAAAAAGTTTTATTTTTGTTTACTTCCTTTAAGTTTTAAAATGTCTGTTTCTTTTTTCATTTATTTAGTATGTGCTTTTTCCAATAATTATATTGCAGCTCCTAATTACTTATTAGTGAGCCCCTGGTGTAAAAGGGTAGCAACAACTAAATAATTAAATAAATAACTAACTAACTAACTAACTAACTAACTAACTAAAACTAACTAACTAACTAACTAACTAACTAAATAAATAAATAAATAAATAAATAAATAAATAAATAAATAAATAAATAAATAAATAAATAAATAAATAAATAAATAAATAAATAAATAAATAAATAAATAAATAAATATACTGGTGGTCAAGTTTCGTCCGACAGTTGTGAATATGCCAGACCCTTGTTTTGCTGATTACAGATTTTCGATTATCTGTAATTAGCGAAACGAACCATTTACTGATTATATTGTTATTATCGGCAAATGTTTTATTTCGTTATATACTCTACTGAAAGGTGAATATACTGGTCAAGTTCCGTCCGACAGTTGTGAATATTGTATGTGTCAGACCCTTGTTTCGCTGATTACAGATTTTTGACTATCTGTAATTAGCGAAACGAGCCATATACGTATTAAATATTATTTTCGGCAAATATTTTGTAAATATTGAGCATATAAAACCCATATTTACTGAATACAGTTCAATTTTTATTAGGTGTGTTATCCTGTTTTGTTTCGTTTCGTTTCTTCAATTACAATAAGCCTTCTCCGTATGCTCGTGTTGAAAGTGGCGGGTGAGTCCCGGGGGGGGGATTCAGGCGGACGTTTGCGGCCTATTCGGGGTTATGGGTCCGCCAATTCGGGGCCTAGGGCGGTGTATGAGGGTGGTTGTTACAAGAGAGGGCCTACAGCGGGCGCAGCAACCCTGTGAGTTTATTTCTGGGGGCATATTGCAGACATTAGCATTTTAACGGGGGCCTATTTGCCTCCCGCGCGGGCCCGCTCTAGAAGGTGAAAAACACCCCGCTTTGCCGCTAAATTTGGAAAGCACATGGGGTAGTAACAGCATATAGAGTGAACCCCCCCCCCCGGGCTGACACGTGGACGTATTATTGTCTAAATACCACATTTACAGAAGGCACAAACAAGATTTGTATGTGTAACTTGCAATCTAGATTATTCTCACGTAGAAAACGGAATCCACGTAAGTCGCATTATTTCACTTCCAGCTTATTAAAACATACTAAACTGCTTGAAATTACTAGCATAACATTTTGTACTAGTTATATCGCGAAAGTTCCCTGAATACATCTTCTGCCCAAGTATGTACAGCGCCATCACAGTTCACATTGATAATGTGCTAGAGAACACGACTGTTCACCACCGGTTATCGCGAAACACAGTCTTTTTCATACTTTTTCAATTTTAGAAGACGAGCAGCATCCAACCGTAAAATACTCCCAGATATATTTGTTCTTCATGATAAACAATTTAGCTGCATCATACATGTCCGTTTTTTCCAAAAAAATAGATGTTAGTTGCCTGGTTATTTTGGTGATTATATCCCACTCCTAGTTTATATAAATTTAACCAAACTTCAGTTTCAGCTACATTCGCTATTCTGATCGCTTACCAGTGTTGCAAAACATACGTTTGAAAAAAGGAAAAACAAAAACAAAAAAACGATTAACTGACAATTTGGGGTCCAAAATATTATGCCAATAAAAAAGTTCAATTGAATTAGCGAAAGGAAATGTTCACTCTTACAAATCATAAATACTACATCTCCTCTATATGACAAACTTCTCCAATTTGAAGACATTTACTTTTCTATACGATGATGAAATTATTTAATTATTTTTTGAATCTGTCCACTGTATTTGTATCGGTATTCAACTTTCACCAGACGGGATTGCTGTAAAGCCCCAGCATAATTCAACGTTTAGATGGTAGGACGACTAACAATACAAGCTCATTATATATTCTGATGCGCAAATTAGAATTATGACGATTTAAAAAAAAGGCAAAATTTCTTTTATATCCGTTGTTATAATCTAGCGTTTGGCAATTACGAGTTAGTGTCTGGTTGTAGCGAGTTATAGTGTCTCGCTATAACGAGTTAGTATATCATAAATGATGGTTAGTGTCTCGTTGTAACGAGTTAGTGTCTGGTCGAGTTACGTATTAGTCGAGGCTTGGAGAATGGTTTAAGCATAACATTGTGTTCGGAACATGGGTGACTGCAAATAAACATCAAACAAACATTCCCCTACTGCATGTATGAGCAAATGCGTTTGCACGAAAAAGAACCACGCACATGCGCGCTACAAAAATAATATCAACATAATATTTATTTACAAAAACACCGAACTTGTGTCATGAATGAACTTTACTATCCATCACATCGTTTGTAATGTTGAATTCTAGTCTAATCGTCTTAGAGAGAATTAAAACACTTTCACTGATATTTTATTACCCTTGAGGTTATGTGCGCGACACGCGACCATGATTAATCAAAACTTA